TATGTCCAAATGTAGTGTTGGCGTACGGATTGTACGTGTGAGTCTCAATCTTGACGATGCGGTCGTCAAAGATCGGCTCACCGGTAATATTCAAGATATCAATCATTTCGTATGATAAAACCCGATTTTAAAAATGCGACGTTGGACGCAGTGAGTTTCTTTCCAGGCGTAGTTTTTTCAGTAAAAGGTATATCTCTCGTCTATTTCGGCTGTTTGTTCAACACAAGCATCTCGTTAACGCCGTCGTACGTGCAATCTAACAGTGATCTTCTCTCCGCGAAAATCAAGCAATCGACCGTCTTGGTCTACGCGAATCGTCAAATCCGTAATGCTCCGTACGACGATCGGAAGGTAAATGATCTACGTAGGTCTTTCCGATATCTTATATCCTGGCGGTACGCTCGGTGAAAACTCGTCTATCGTGTGCACGCATCTGTCGTTGCTGAACGCACCCGCGGTCACTTTGCACTCGGTACGAATGATGTTTACGTTGATGATATTTACCGGCACGTCCGACTCGTGCCACTGTCGCGGCTCCAGCACGCGATTCAAAACGAAAATCCCAGCAGCGAGCCAATGTTGCGAGGTTTTGTAAAATTTATCCGATAGGCGCATTTAATTTCGCTTCTCATCGTATAGTTGTTGGCGCGAATCATCAGCGGGAACTTTTCATCCTCCTTGCCCTTCGCGTTGCGAGAATGTATAATTTCGCGCTTCAGTTACCGCTCTATATCGCGCAGTTCGTACGATCCTTCAGGAATGACAATTTCCTCGTCGTCATAGTAAAACTTGTTTGTCGAATTTACATTGGGTAGTGTATAGTACATTTCAAAGTCCGTCAGACCGAGCTCGTAATCACCATCACCCAAATCTACCGCTGGAAAGTAGCTCACGGTAAGGACGCTACCCTTGCCAGTCAACGTAAACGTCAGCGACATGTTTCAAACGAGCACTGAGTTAAACAGCGCAAGGTCGGTTCTTAAATTGCTTATCAACCGACCGCAGAAACTGTAGATAAAGCTGCCCGCAATTGTTATGGTTGTAACGCTGATAAGGCGCGCGAATGTACCCGATTACACTGTTTGCCAGATATCGTTCGAGTTCCTTCGGCGGCCGTAAATTGCTTTGACGTAAAAACTGTCAAAGTATATGACGATATTCCCCCTTTTGCGTACGCCACCCAATGCATACCGGGTCTCACAGCATTGTCAAGATTTACGATACCTCTCGTTTTGACGTACTCCTTTGACCGGCAATACAGTACGCATAAAGACCCCTCTAAAATACGGAATGCGCATACGGTTTGCAAGTTGTTGCAATTGCACATCGGTAGTTACTTCCCTCGGCATTTTTAACGTTTCATCGACGTTTTTTTTTTCTCCGCGCGACACCTTGTCCTCGCTTGTAGGGAGCGAGATAAACGACGCGGCCTTCCATGACGCGATTATGCAGTTCTTCCAGCTGACCCTGCGCTGTTTTGCTATCGTTTACGGCCTTGGCGACTCCCGCCGCCCTGCCAATGACCCGAGAACGCCGAGCAGTGGTAGAACGGGCAGGACGCCGCCGCGTTTCGCTGTCGGAAGAATCCTCTTGCTCTTTTTCTTCTTTGTTTTCAAGCCCATACCAATCTTTGTTTTGACCTTCATAGCTGCCCAAACGGCTGTAGCTGCAGTTCTCTCTCTGAGAGTCGAATCACTTGTGGTAATGCGTTTCCGCGCCTTCTCAGCGAGTATATTATCAGCCGCGTGTCGTTCGGTGGGATCGTTGCTGTGGGAATACTCTGTCGTGCTCGCGACACGCAGCATCCAATGGATTAATACCTCGATCGCCTCTGGCCAATCGCTTCTCCAATCGCGTTCCCGGACCGCAAAACCGATATCCGGGAATATGTAGTTCGAAGGGAAGCGCATTTATCGCACGATTTATCAAGGCTCTCGACGGCATTCGCTACAATTTTTTATCAAAGGCGCCAGACCGTGGCACCCAGTTGGACACGGCTGAATTGAACACGCGCCACTCACAGCGCTTGAGACTACAAAGCTCCTAAGCACCCGTCGCTGTGATTGGTGTTGTCCAATTGAGCCGTGATCAATCGGGATCACCCCCTACTCGTATATGCTCGGGTAATCCCACAACAGATCTATGCAATTTTCAAACTCACGCAGCAGTACAATTTTCGGTATGTATTCCAGCTCTTTTGAAGTTAAACTATGCAGATCGTTTGACACGGCGAGAAACATTTTAATTACTGAACGATTTCGCTTTACGCGGCTCTATAAATAGGCCCGCTCGCGATATCGTTTTCAGTATTTTGTGGAAGCAGAAAATACGCGGTTCGTGCGCCAATCGCGGATGATTAAAGTGACGAATCTCGACGGCAAAGTACAAACCGATAAAGAGACGCGTAAGCATGACAACGTGTTACCGGCCACTATACACGCGATCGTCTGCGGACCGTCAAATTGCGGCAAAACGAACGTGTTGATAAGCCTATTGGAAAGTCCGCACGGCGTAAGATTCGAGAACGTGTATGTGTACTCGAAATCGCTGCAACAGCCCAAATATCGATACCTGGCGAATCTGCTAGCTCCGATCGAAGAAATTGGCTATTTTACGTTCTCCAATAACAGCGACGTCATTCCACCGAGCGAGGCGCTTCTGAATTTTATCTTCATCTTTGATGACGTGGCATGCGACAAGCAAGACGCGATAAGAGAGTACTTTACAATGGGACGACACGCGGACGTTGACTGCTTCTATCTCTGTCAGACGTACGCAAAGATACCGCAGCATCTTATACGCGACAATGCAAATCTGCTGATCCTATTCAAACAGGATGGTACCAATCTGAAACGCGTGTACAATGATCACGTGAATACCGACATGCCGTACGAGAATTTATGCGATTTATGTCGTAAATGTTGGCAGCAAAAATTTCTAGTAATTGACAAGGACAGTGCGCTTACCGATGGGTGATACAGAAAAGGATTTAATGACTTTGCGTGGCACCCACTTGGACACGGCTCAATTGGACAAGAGCCACTCACAGCGCTTGAGACTACAAAGCTCCTAAGCAACGGTCGCTGTGATTGGTGGTGTCCAATCGAGCCGTGATCAATTGGGATCACCCCAATGACTTTGCGATACCGTGATGTGATCACTTGATATCGATATGTTGACGTGGACAACAGCAAATACCATGAGAAAGTAACCAAGGAGATTGCGAAAACGAGTGATTCGATTCGCAAAAAGTATCGCGCTTTGAAGACTGGTAAAATGGAGGAGGACATCGCATTGGAGAGGCACCTCAAACCTATTATCGACCCGCTGAAACAGATTGTCGAAAACACCGCTGACTCCAAGGATCCTATCATGACTGAAACAATCTTTTCTGGTGAAGATGAACCAAAACCCAAAAGGAAACGACCGAGTGCTTTGTACGACAATCCTATACAGGCTTCCATGCCTGTAAAATCAATGTTGAATCGATCGAAAACCGTAGTATGCTTTGAACGAAATGTCTGAAATAATACAGCCGTATGAGTTATCGCATGACCATGTTCCCTCCGTCGAAGAAATTTTCGAGGTTACCTATGAACAGCTCGTGACATCTATTCGAAACCTGCTTCAAACATCCGAGGGTCAAGAAAAGTTGCAAACAAACTATGGTCCGTTAGGACAGAAATATATGAAAGCGATCCTGAGTGGTAAGAAAGTCGTCAACATAGACGTTGTGTACGGAAATTATTTCAGCGACGAGGGAACGATGCTCAGTGACAAACATATCATCTTGCACAAAAACGATGATATAATTACAGATGGGAAAAAATATGATGGAACATCGGTCCTGTACGAGTTAATTTTCATGTGAAATTTCCCAACGAAGGTATCTATACGGATGATGACATACACACCTACAGAAGCATTCTGCTGACGACAAACGCTCACAGACGCGGTTATAGCTCGAGTAATCAAGTAATGGGTAGTAAGGGATATAAGTATAAGAACATAAGAGCGCCATTGGTGTTGGATAAAAAAGTTGGAACGGGAATAAACAAAAGAGCGAATGTATCGCGTACGGGGTGATCCCGATTGATCACGGCTCGATTGAATACCACCAATCACATCGACCAGTGCTTAGGAACTTTGAAGTCTCAAGCGCTGTGAGTGGCTCGTATCCAATTGAGCCGTGTCCAACTGGGTGCCACCCCCGCGTACAATGACACTAAATGATAACAAGATCGACTATATCCATTGGGACGATCCCAACGAAATTGTAGATCGTCTGCGATTGCTCGAGGCCTCGCGCCAGGCTGGTTACAATGGTCACGACAACGAGATTTTGTCGATTATCGAAGAGCTTCGCGAAGCCGGTCTGATTATAAATTAACCTCGTTCTTCACACATCGTTCAGTCAACATCGCAATGCCGATCAACAAGTTTGGACTATAGCTTCGAGGCGGAAGCGAATCGCACTATCAGTGGTGTGGATTGCTCAGAAATTACGTGCGCGATAACGCTCTTTGCATAGTCGCAGCCGACTTTGACGCAAAGTCGCGCAAAATTCGACAAGTAGCGCTACCGGTAGATGATGTTGATGCAGTAAACAAGCGATACATGCAGCAGAGTTCAAGATTTGAAAGATCGTCTGAACAATATCGAAAGGAAGATTCCCAAGTGGTAAAGTTGGACATATGCCGGATCTTACAAATGGCGTGATACTGCGGCAGTTGTAAACAGTAAGTAACACCAGTACTGCTGGTCAGTACGGCACCAATCATCGGCATAATACTGGCTTACTATTGGCTTAGTTCTGGCACAGTACTGCCTCTTCAGTACTGGTTATCAACCGAAAAGGAGTTACGCCGAGGATTGGTAAGGTACTGGCTTAATATTGGCACAGTACAGACTCTCGATGAACATGTGATGGTAAAGAAGGAAACTTCAACGTAGATAAACTTCGTATTAAGATCGCCACAATACTCCCCCACTAGCGACGGTTACGTTGCGAACTGAACCTTTTTCTTCGAACCAGGATAAGACCTCAAAGTTTTCTGAGTTGTTTGTGGTATCGAAGACGAAGTTGGTAGAGATGAGGTTGAAGTAGAAGGCGGCAAAGTTGGTACAGTGGAAACGGAATCGGGTTCTTTAGGTAAAAAGGCTGGTTTCAGACGTTCGGTTGAAATGTTAACAGATCTCCCTGCAAAATCGATAGTGAATAAATAGTCATTGATCCGCTTAATTATACGAAATGGTCCAGAATATGGAGGTTGAAGGCCTTTGCGAACAGAATCATCTCTAACCCAAACGTGAGTACAATCAAAGAGATTTTTATGATAAAAGGGGGTTTTGTTACAATGATGTGAAGTAGGTCTTGACTTAATATTTCTCATGGCAATTCTGTGTTTTTCTAGAAATATTTCAGGATTTGCAGGAAGGTCCTCTTCAAGAAAAAATTCTCCTGGAATCCGTAAACTTGACCCATACAACATCTCAGCAGGAGATGATTTGAAATCTTCTTTAAAACAAGTACGTAGTCCTAATAGAACAGTTGGAAGAACCTCCAACCAATTATGATTTTCGTGACACATGATAGCTTCAAGGTACGATGCCAACGCTTTAATATTCCGTTGGAAGCAGGATGGCACGCAGAAGTTCTAATTCGATTGCATTCAATCAAGTTGGTGAGTTTTAAATAAAGTAGCTTCGAATTGCGGACCTTGGTCAGTAGAAATAGTATGAGGAGCACCAATCTTGAAACCCAGTGAGTATAGAAGGCTGTAGAGACAGTCTCAGCAGAGATTTCTTCCAGAGGAATTGCTTCAGGCCATCTTGAAAACCTGTCAATCATCGTCAAGCAATAACGAAATTGTTTGCAAGGTGGAAGTGGTCCGATAAGATCAAGATGCACGTGTTGAAACCGTTGATCTGGTACATCAATCTTGAGAGGTAAATTTTTGGTGTGTCTTTGAATCTTTGCACGTACAAGGTAAACACGTTCTACACCACTCTTTAATGTCTTTTCTTAAAGAAGGCCAAATAAACTTCTGCAGAATAGATTTACAAGTGGACTTGATACCTGGATGAGACAAACGATGAACAATATCGAAAATTCGTCTTCGAAGTCGATAAGGGACATAAGGACGAATACATTCAGTAGAACAATCGCAGAAAATAGGAGCAGTAGAATCCGTAAGTACAAATTTTTGTAATTTGAGAGCTGATCCTTCCTTGAGTAAAGTTTTTAACTCCATATCATCTAATTGTGCTTCAGCAAGTTCCTCCAATGAAACTATAACTGGTATTGTAATAGAATCAATTCTTGATAATGCATCTGCCACGGAATTCTGTTTACCTGAAATATGTTCAATATCAGTGGAAAATTGAGCAATAAAATCAAGTTGACGAATCTGTCGTGGTGAAGCTTTATCTGGCTTCTGTTGAAAGGCATAAATCAATGGTTTATGATCCGTTCTGATAATGAATCTGCGTCCATCAAGTATGTACCTAAAATGTTTAATCGCTAAATAAATTCCCAAAAGTTCTCTATCATAAGCACTATAAGATTGTTGAGAGGAATTTAATTTTCTTGAAAAGAAAGCAATAGGTTTAATGTCCTTATCAACTATCTGCTCCAGAGAAGCACCGACCGCGAAATCTGAAGCATCACAAGTTAAAACCAGAGGAACTGATGGTGCTGGATGAGTTAAAGTTGTAATCTTCAAAAGTTCTTCTTTACAATTCCTAAAAGCTTCTTCTGCTTCTGGAGTCCACGGGACCAGTTTTCTATCACGTTTCCTGCTGTCTTTGAGAAATTCAGTAAGTAACGCTTGATTTTTGGCTGCATTTTTAAGACATCTTCTGTAATAATTGATAATGCCTAAAAATCGTCTCAATTCCAGAAGAGTAGTGGGTTTCTTGTAATCAATAATTGTCTTAACTTTTTCAGCTGTCGGCTTGATTCCCTGACTAGAAACTAAATATCCGAGAAAAGGGATTTCTGATGCTCCGAACAGACATTTAGAGACATTGATCGTTAGACCAAAATGTTGAAGACGTTCAAAGATAACACGTAAGTGTTTAAGATGTTCTTCCTCATTAGAAGATGCAATCAGAATGTCATCTAGGTAGCAAAAACAGAATTCTAAACCACTTAACATATTATTCATTAAGCGTTGGAAAGTCTGAGCAGCATTGCGTAAACCAAAAGGCATTACCACAAATTCAAATAAGCCAAATGGAGTTGTAACTGCGGTTTTATGAATATCTTGTTTTGCTACCGGGACTTGATAATATGCCTTAACAAGATCAATTTTGGAGAAAATGCTTTTACCATGTATACTAGATGTAAAATCTTGGATATATGGCAAAGGATATTTATCCGGGACAGTGGCTGCATTTAAAGCACGATAATCACCACACAATCTCCATGAGTTGTCTTGTTTAGGAATCATGTGGAGAGGAGCTGCCCAAGTACTGCTTGAAGATCGACAAATGCTTTGTTCCATTAAAAACGTAAATTCGGCTTTAGCGAATTTTAATTTTTCCGGAGACAATCTTCTAGGGGAAAAAAATATCGGCTGACCTTCTGTTAAAATATGATGTTCTACACCATGGTTTTTAAAGGTAGTGGTCGCCATAAATCTTGTAAGCTTCGGAAATTCCGCTAAAAGTCTTGTATAAATAGAATTCGGTGAAGTCGTACAAATAGTAAAATGATTGACTACCGAAAATCTTCCATGATGTGATAAACCCGTAATATTGTCAATAAGACGTTTATTTCTTACGTCTATAAGTAAGCCAAAATGACTGAGGAAATCTGCACCTAAAATAGGATTTGACACGTCTGCAATGCAAAATTTCCATCTAAAAGCTCTTCGCAGACCAAGATTTAAAGTTAACAACTTGTAACCATAAGTATTTATTACAGATCCATTAGCAGCAAAAAGTTTAACAGAGGTTGGCGACGACTTTGGGCAAAACCTTCTGGGGATAAGCGAAATATCTGCTCCTGTATCCACTAAAAAATGTAATCCAGAAGACTTGTCAGAGAAAATGAGGCGATTATTAATATACCCGTTGTCTGACGCCTTGATATCCAACGGCAAACTTAGTTTTCCTGTTTATCAGTGAGAGTTAAAGTTTTGGACATAGAACAAGGTATAATACATTTAATAGCTTTTGCACCAAATCTCCTATGAAAATAACAAATTGTCGAGTTAGATTTATCAGCTACATCCCTTGACTTGGATCTAAAATCCTTCTTTTGATGAAAATTAGACCGAGACTTGCTACGTGAGCGTTTAAATTCAAGAGCTGAAATTCTTCGTTCCAATTCAGCTACATTAGGCGTTACAATGTCAGTTTTAGCAACTTCAGAAACTGATTGGCTAAATGGCAACTGATTATTGTCACGTTCTAAAATTTTATCTGCTAGTTCAGCTAACTTGATTAATGGAACATCCTTGACAACTGCAAGTGTAGCTTGTATTCTAAGAGGTAATCTTTGTAGCCAAATAGAATGTAAGATATTATCTGCTATGGTTCCGCCTGAAAGCTGTTTAATCTCGCGTAATAAATCTGAAGGCTTCTTGTCGTTAAGTTCAATTCCTGCTAAAAGCTGTCTAAGACGTTTTTCTTCGGAATCAGTAAAACGATTAATTAGAGCAGTCTTTAAAGTGATATATTTATCTCTTTCAGGAGCATTTTCAACAATGTCGGAAACAGTTAAAAGCGCCTTTTCATCCAAGTGTCTAAGAATCGAGCTGAATTTAATTTCATCTGAACGGATTCTATATACTAGAAATTCGCTCTCTAATTGAGCAAACCAGAGTTTCGGATGCTTGTGCCAGAAAGTTGGTAATTTTATAAGGCGAAATTCATTGGAATTGACTTGTCTCGACTCACCGGAAGTAGATCAGCATCCGTCAAATTGGCTCCTCCTAAATCTATTCCAGAAAAGGTCGGTACCTCAGTATCTTCAGGAGTTGTTGTCGAAGTTTCAGGTGATTTGACAGGAGTCCTATCCACAGGCATTATGAAGAGTCACTTTATATGAAGTTCAGTGAACCCAAGATCTCGCCAACGTCCTAGTCAGACTCTCTATCTGAAGATATCGTTCCAAAATATTATCCTACGACCTCGATCTCTTCAAAAGTTGTCAAGAAGATCACGTCGGGGTCACCAATTTGTACCGCCTTAATTCTTTATGAATGACTTTCACAGCTTTTGGAATAAAGATTTTATTCAAAGAATTTACATTCAAGTAATTCTAAACCAACCACAATAAATCAAGTCTAAGTTGTAATAATTCATTATATAAATATTTGTGTTGCTAAGAAACAGTTTCCAGAGAAATATTGATTTTGACAAAGAATTTGCTACTAAAATAAGTGAATCAAGAAAGTGAATTTAAATGTGTAAAAACGATAAATAAAAACATGTGATGGTAAAGAAGGAAACTGCAACGTAGATAAACTTCGTATTAAGACCGCCACAGTTTCTCGCGCGTCGGACAGAACAATAGGTCAGTGTGCGCGTCATGAAGATGTTGCGGGTACTCCAAATCCACCTCTAGAATATAGCCTGTTTGCGAATCTAACGCGATGATCGTAAAATCGAAATTGTGCACGTCATCGACCCATCGAAAATCTGCGTAGGGCAATGGTTGACACATTGCCCAGCCATATAGGTTGTTGATGTCATAGTACATCAAGTACGATGATCGTTTCGATGGATCGTACGACGGCATGTATTTGTTGTTGGCTCGCGCGTACCTGTTTGTACACTGGCTCAGATAACCGCGTGTACCGCGCTCGACAAACATGACCATGTCGATATCTGTCAGCAGTTCAAATTTTACACCAGTATGCTTTAACATGGCATCCCATGTGAAGCCAGGTAAGGTGTAATAGTATGCGGGGTCGAGCCCGTAACTCGCGATGCAACTGTCGCGGAAATTTGCAAAGACGTCGGCCAACAACAATACGTCTGTTTTTAGATACAGGTCGCTGTATTCGCCAAGCGTTTGGATGGAGAACCACTGCCACACGTTGACGGCGTGCGCGTAATCACTCTCAGATACCATGCTGTCAGTCAATGAGCCGTGAAATGACTCGCGAGGTGGCAACCACTATTCATTCAATTTTTCGCTGCAGTCAATGTACTCGTACGGAAAAACACCCTTTCGAGTCAAAAGATTAAAATTTTCTTCCGATAGATTGGAAAATTCGCGTTGCAGTACCCGCAGCTTATCATTGTTGAGAAAAGATGACAATTTGTCCAAAGTAGAAGCGAGAAATCTATATGAATCTATGAAACGTAATTGCACGCAATTTTTTTTATCAATTTTTGTACTGTCGATGTGTTTAGTATAAGATATATATTTTTCTTTAGTTATTGGAAACAGATCTACGCGTCCTTCATATGCGGTTGCAAATTCCTTGATAATAAAATGAGCGTTGTAGCCTGATAAGTTATGGAAAACTACGGGTATGCAACGCGAATCCTTGCAATTTAGATTGCAATTTGAGTGCACGGGGCCTCTGTATCGCCCGGTTAAGTGACAGTGATCGCGTACCCGCGTATCATCTTTCGCGAACAGTTTCTCGCACGCGTGACAATGCGAGGCGCTGGTAAAATTTTCCCAGTCGTTGCACGTGAAATCCATCATGAGAACATTAGTCGAAATTATAGACTGTACACTATGTGCTAACTGTCTAAGTTCTTCCGCGACCCACGCTATACAGTCTTTGTCGCGGCGAAATCGACAGCCTGACAGTGAGCTGTCGTAGGAGAGGTGGCACCCAGTTGGACACGGCTCAATTGGACACGAGCCACTCACAGCGCTTGAGACTACAAAGCTCCTATGCACCGGTCGCTGTGATTGGTGGTGTCCAATCGAGTCGTTGTCAATCGGGATCACCCCGCTATCTATTCTTTCCAATGCACACTCAAGATCGGCGTAGTCTATGAACGGGACGCGCTCTTTCCGGCAGTCGTTGCGAAAACGCAGCCATTCGTCATCCTCGCTCGGTAGTCTGATTGCGCAATCATTCAGTTTTTCACAATCCTCGCTGTGGGTCCAGAATCTCGCTGCCAGATTCTGGCTTGAGTAATCACTTCGTAGCGCGTGGTGGGGGTAGCCGCCGATAGCTATAGCTATGACGCACCGCGCTCGGCTAAAGTCGGACAGATCCAGGATCACTTATACAGCAGACGCACCATACCTCTTGCTTCCAATCGGAATGATGGCCCTAGATATCAAATTTTGAATGCCCCTAATGGCAGGACACCATCCTTTTCAGGTAACGGAATTGCACTTAATGATAATTATTCAACAAATGGCAATCTCAGGGAACATACTGAACATTTGGACGGAAGAAATCTTAGAGAACCTCTCGCTTTAAATCAGCAACATATTTTTGACATAGTCAAGTTGGTGGTGGCCAATCTCTTGTAGAGTGATACAGGACTTTCAAAGGACCCATTTATAACAGATCGGGAAACATTATATTCTAACCATGCAGAATCTTCTAAATTTCTTTGTGAATAACCCTATAGAACTCCTCCAGATTTCGGCTCACAGTATCAATAGCTTTTTATAATAATCACAATCTATGAATTCTACAAATAACAACAACAGCAATAATATCAATGTTCGATCAGGGACCTACATAGTGACTT